AGGAAGAGGAAGTAATCAAACATGGCAAAATGTAGCCAGAAAGTTCTGATTATACCAAGGCTAAACAATGGCTGTTGATTTGGGCAATGGTAATTCATGATGAACTTAGGCTGGAATCACACAAGTTCATTCAGACATTAGTCGCATTTATTCAAATGGTAAACACTCAGCCAGCATGCATCCTTAGCACACTCTCAGATGCTAGCCACATTCTCATGTTCCACACACACCTTCAGAATTTAAACCATTTATTCAAATTGTGCCCCAACAGGCACACATTTGGATGCCCCCCACCCCCATAATTTGGGGTCCTTTATATTTTCCAATGCCACCTCGGAGTCAGCTGGAGCCAGTGCAGCTCTGTTTTTGCAGGGGTAATGGCAGGTACCCATAAGGGTTAAACGGGTTATCTTGTGGTTTTTATCTCCCAGGGGCAAAACCACCTTTGTTTTTCTCTCATCTCCTGGTAGAGGTAATACCCCCTGGGGATTGTGAGGTAATGCTGGATGTTGCTGGTTCTGGTGACATGCTCCTTTGCTCACTTCTCGCCCACATACCCCAAATGTGATGATTATCTGTTGTGTGCAAAAGTTGGGTTTGCTCGATTCCCTATTTTCTAATGATCTTGAGACAGAGTTGTGTACAATAAAGAGAGAGGATGCTCAATGGCACAAATACCCAAGCAAATGGAAGTGGCTGGGACGCAAAGCCCAGTGGGAAGGGCAAGGCCCAAGCAGGACTTCTCTCCTCTGAGACCCAAGGAAAGGATGGATAGTGTGGGTAGAGACATTATTGGAGGTGACAAGAGAGGAAGTGTTCACTTAATGGCCTCCATTTGCTCTAAACACAGGAGTTCTTAACCCTGGGTCCACAGCCCTTTCAGAGACTGTAGGGAGAATTCAAGCAGCCCATGGACTTGGATGGGGGGAAATTGCATCTTTATTTTCACTATCACCAACACAAGGTGTAGTATGTCCTTCTATGGGATGTAATAAACTACAATAGTATTAGCAGTACCTGTGGTTTTGTTACCAGTGGAAATCAGATTTTCATAGCATATCAGAGTTGTTACAGATCTCTTGAAATAACATCACTATTTTGAAATCATGGTAGTCATGAGACCTGTTAATAGAGCTTGGGATTTAATGTATAAATAAAGAAGCACATATATTACTACATTACAGATGTGTTTCTTTTTATTTTGGTAATTATATTTCTCTTGTAATCCTATTTTTATATCCTATCTAATGCATGCATTATTCTGTGAAGGGATTCCTTAGACTTCACCAGACTGCCAGAGGTTTTCACAGCCTAAAAAAGGCTAAGAGAGGGCGCCTGGGTGGCTCAGTCGGTTGAGCGACTGCCTTCGGCTCAGGTCATGATCCTGGAGTCCCGGGATCAAGTCCCGCATCGGGCTCCCTGCTCAGCAGGGAGTCTGCTTCTCCCTCTGACCCTCCCCTCTCTCATGTGCTCTCTCTCTCTCTCATTCTTTCTCTCAAATAAATAAATAAAATCTTTAAAAAAAAATAAAAAAGGCTAGGAGACACTGCTCTGAAGAGTAACAATAGCTAACATTTACATAGCTCTTGCCAAAGGCCAGATACTGCTCTGAGTACCCTTTTTTCTTATATAGTCATTCACTCATTTATTCCTAACAACTCTACAAGATAGGTGCTTTGACTATACCCATTTTATGAAAGAGGAGACCGAGGCACAATAGTTAAGTAACTTGCCTAAGGTCATTCAGCTAGTGAATGATGAAATTGAGATTCAAACCCAGGCCTTCTGGCTTCAGAGTCTGTGCTGAAAAGTGAAGAAGTTGAATTAGTAGGATGTCAAGGGACAAATGGTTGGAGGGTGCCAGCAAGAGTGGTTAAAGAGAGAAGGGGAATGAGAGAGGGTCTACACTGGTCAGAAGAAAAGTAGGAAGAGACAGCTAGGTGGAAAGAAAATGGAAAGACCCATGGAATAAGAGGATTCAAGGAGATACAAGAAGTGTGGAAGGGAGGAGAGCCAAAATGACTGGGACAACATGTTCAGAGTGAGAGATGGTGGTGTGTAGATGCCAGAGAAGTGAGGGAGTCATTCCAGGGCATGGCAAGGTTAATAATGTCGCCTAGACAGAAGTGGTTAAAATCAAGAGGAGCTGAGGGTCCCTGGAGTTAAGCAGATGAAGGAATCATGAAGCTGGGCCCCCAAATTCTCCCAAGATTGTTTGATTGATTGCCTGATTGATTGATCGATTCATTCATCGGTATTGAGTGTCTAGTACATGCTAGGCAGTGCTTTGGGGATTGGGTAGCCAAGTGGTGAACCAGTAAGACAACACCCTGCCGCTGTGGGGCTTACCTTCTAGCAGGGAGAGAACTACACAACACACACACGCACACACACACAAATAAGACTGGGTTAGACAAGGCTCAAAAGCCTTTAGGCACAATTCCATGACCCAAAAGTTCTGAAAAGCATACTTTGGAGCCCAAACCCATTAGGTGACAAAACCTGACCCAAAGTAATGTGAGGCTGCCTATAGTTTTGATTCACACTCAATGTTAATGTTCATACTTTTCACTCTAAAATATTAATGTTTAATTGTAAGTGATGCTCTAGACCTTTCTCAGTAGTTATGTAGTGTAGAGTATATGCAGTATATAGAGTTATGTAATCTAGAGTAGGTCTTCCTTTGTAAAATTGAAAAAAATAGCTGAATTCCAAAACACACCTGGCCCCAAGATTAGAAAAAAAGATTACGGGTCTGTAAGTGCTATGCAGAGAATTCAAATATGCAATATGTTGGCTCACAAATTGGCCCCTGTACATGGAGAGCATGGAGAGACCAAAGATAGAGGCAGACTGCCCCAGATCGGTAGGTGGCAGATTTAACAAGCAAGGGAATTTACATACAAAGCTTCTCTTGGACAGCTGAAAGACGAGTAGATCTCCGCACCCACCAACTGGAATCTTAAAAATTTATGTAGAGGCTTTAGCTGGGTTCAGTCATGTGTTCAGTCCAGATGGTCTCAACAACATTTTACTCTCTCAAGGCTGTGTCCCTGAAATGGCTCCGGCCATGGGAACATTGCACAGAGCATACATTCCAAAGACAGGGGAAGGGGTGCAGAGATACCCATTGCTGGCTCCAGCTCTCAGGTCAACCAGTGGTCACCTCCTCGATAAATTCCTCTGACACAATGGGATAATAACTAGGTGTCTACAGCTTGAGTGGTCAGGGAGAGGAGGTAACATTTAAGCTTAGTTCTAAATGATCAAAAAATTAAGAAAAAGGCAGTCATGTGAACATCGGGGAGAGAGAATTCCAAGCAGAAGGAACAGCTAATGCAAAGATGAACACAAAGAGGCCATGTGGCTGGAGCATATTGGGCCCAGCCAGGAGTGCTATAAATTGCTGGGAGGACTGCATGTAGTCAGAAAGATTGTGAATCTTATACTGAATCCTTTGATGAATATGGCATAGTGACCATGAGTGCAGTGGTTATCAACAACTAGGAGGCCCAGAGGGAAGTCTTTCTGGGTGGGAAAGCATGTGGGGAGATACTTCAGATAGAGGAAACATAAAGCTGAATGGGGCTGAAAATGTAGACTAAGATTTATGGCTCGAAGACCTTGGTTTGGGGAAGAAGTCAGGGAGGAAGTCAGATTAGGTAGATTAGGTGGGCTCAAGATTCTAATTGGGATGCTGGCTGAAAGATGTTCTAGGGTGACCAAAGACCTGGGTCTAAAATGACGGTGTCTGGTTGAGGTCCCCTCGGCAATGTGTGGTTTGGGCTTTGGGATTTAAAATAGGTTTGACACAGATAGAGGACAGTAGAAAAGACTGAGCTGATGAAAGATGTTTTTGCTTCTCTGTTTATACCTCTCTGGGCTTGTGCTTCTTAAGAATGTCTGTCTCAGAATGTCTGTCTCCTAGCTTCTCTGTCTCTTAGTGGCTCTCCACATCCGTATCTCTGTGATCCTGTCTGGCATCTCTGTTCCTCTCAATCTCTTCCTTAACATATTTCTCTTTGATGGCTCTCAGAATCTCCATCTTTGGATATCTATGTCTATGTCTCAGAATCTTGTTCTCTGTCCCTTCCTTTGTCTGTGTCTGTACTATAATTATCTTTTCCCCCAACTGAACTGTGTTCTTCTGGAAGGCATGAACCTTTTCTTATTCCTCTTGGTATCCCCAATGACCCGCACACAGCCTGGAATATAGGGGTCTCTCACATGTTTATGCTTGAATGAAGGTTTTTTTCTGAGGAGTAAGGAAAACTCTCAAATCTCCTGTCCGCCTACTGCCCGCGGAGCTGGCCGCCTGCCCAAAGATCAGCTAGAGAGTCTAGCAGTGAGCGTGGCTGGTATTGCGCTGCCGCAATCGGGTTCTCTCTCCAGGTGAAGTAACTCCAGAGGCACCTTGCGGAGGGCTCGCCCTCTCGGCCCGGGACGCGCGCAGCCGACGCCACGCCCCGAAATCATGCTCAGCGGCCCCCTCCCCCCACACGCCTCCGCCTCGGCCAATCAGCGCCCGCCCGCCCGTCTTGCCCGCGGAGAGTTCGGAGCAAGATGGCTGCGGCGTGCCGGGGCGTGAAGGTAGGGGGTTCTTCGCTCCTCCCGGCTGCTCCGCCGCGCCAACTGGGACCGCGCGGCCGTGGACCTAGGGGGAAGAGATCGGTGCTGGGAGAAAGGGTCACACTTGTCTAAGCCTGGTAGTGCGGCGGTTGGGCTTGGGAGGTGAAGGTCAACTCTCCGCGGCATGTGTGTGTGTGGGGGGGGGGTAACTGGATGGGCTGTCGCGGCATGAGACACCGGAGGTCCCATCCTGAAGGAGAGGAAACACACCACCGTCGCAGAAGCCTGGAGAACAGGCAGATGAAAGGGTGGGGGTGGCCTGCGCAGTCTACCGTTGACCGTTCCTTTCTTCACAGGGCCTGGTTGCTCTAATAACCGGAGGAGCCTCTGGTCTAGGTCTGGCCACAGCAGAGCGACTGGTGGGGCAAGGGGCCACTGCTGTGCTTCTGGACCTTCCCGACTCTGATGGGGAGGTCCAAGCCAAGAAGTTAGGGAAGAGCTGCGCCTTTGCCCCAGCTGATGTAAGTTGTGGGCATGAGGTCACCGAAACCGGCCTGGGAACCCGTGGGGTCCCCTTCCCTAAGGGTGCTATCTGTGTGGACAGTGGACCCGTCTCCTTGTCCCTTTTGGCCTGAGCCATCGGTCCAGCACTGTGGGAGCACCTGCAATAAGGAATGTACAAAGCCTGGATCCCCAGCAGTGGGGATTGGAATTGGATATATCAGAATCTCCTGGAGGGGGTATGTATAGTTTGAAAATGCATATTGTGCCCTGCAATGTTATATTTACAAAGTTGAAAAACTTTTCATGAAACAAACTACAGAAAGTAACGCTTGATAAAATCATCTTAGCAGGTAGAGGTACAAAAAAGCTGATATCATATCAGCAGTTCTCGAAACTGCTCTGGTCCACAGAAATCTCCAGAGGTATGTGAATTTATCAAAAGAGAGTATAGATTTGAAAACAGTTTTGAACACTACAGCACCTAACATTTTGACTTTTGCCCCACTCTCGTGTTTTCTTTTGGCCTCCTCCTTGCTTACACAGTTCTGTTGTTACTCAAAGACTGGACCTGCTCTCCCCTTGCCCAGGTTTAGTGGTGAGTGTGTGTCCTGGGAAATGAATACTTTTCTCCACCTCTCCCTTTGAAGGTGACCTCAGAGAAGGACGTGCAAGCAGCCCTGACTCTAGCAAAAGAAAAGTTTGGCCGTGTGGATGTGGCAGTCAACTGTGCAGGCATTGCAGTGGCCATAAAGACATACAACTTAAAGAAGAATCAGGCCCATTCCTTGGAGGACTTCCAGCGAGTTCTCAATGTAAGGCCTTGGAGGATCCCCAGGGGTGTGAGTAAAAGGTATTTGGCTATGGGTACCTCCAAAGCTTTTAGGGGACAAAAGGCCCTACACCATGTCTCTGCTGGTCTTTCAGGTGAATCTCCTCGGCACCTTCAATGTGATCCGCCTGGTGGCCGGTGAGATGGGCCAGAATGAGCCAGACCAGGGAGGCCAGCGTGGGGTCATCATCAACACTGCCAGTGTGGCTGCCTTTGAGGGCCAGGTGTGTGGGCGAGGGCAAGGCTTGTGCCTCCTTGGTGACTTGTTAGGGCCCTTCCACATGTGACCTCTGCTCCTTCTCCAGGTTGGACAAGCTGCATACTCTGCTTCCAAGGGGGGCATAGTGGGCATGACCCTGCCCATTGCTCGGGATCTGGCTCCCATGGGCATCCGAGTGATGACCATTGCTCCAGGTAGAGATAGTCCCTCCCTGCCACACCTGGGATTGGGTAGGATTCATGGGCATTTGAGAAGGGAAACTATCTACCAGCTAAGCAGCAATAGCCTTCCATTTCTGGGCATCGGGAAGTACCATAGGTAGAGCTAAGGTGAGGAGGGACCAGGTAAATATGAAAGGAAGGGTGGGCCTCTGATTCTGACTGTCTTGTCTAGGCCTATTTGGCACCCCGCTGCTCACCAGCCTCCCAGAAAAAGTGCGCCACTTCTTAGCCAGCCAGGTGCCCTTTCCCAGCCGACTGGGTGATCCTGCTGAGTATGCTCATCTGGTACAAGCCATCATCGAGAACCCATTCATCAATGGAGAGGTCATCCGGCTGGATGGGGCCATCCGCATGCAGCCTTGAAGGGAGAGGGCAGAGAAAACACATGCTCTTCTCTCCCTGCTTCCCTTGGAGTACTTTACTGCAGCCTGGGAGGAAGTCCCACAGTCATCTTGTAACTCTGCCCAGCAGTCACACTCTGTGCCTAATAAAGTCTATTTCTCACACGGAGCATATAATGCTGTGTGCTGGGGAAACTGGCATGGGGAAGAAAGGTGGCTGGGTGAAGACTGACAGGGTCAGATGCTCCAAGCCCGGGGGTGGGGTGGGAAAGGCAGTACCTCATACCTTTTGTGTCCCATGACAGCACACAGCCTTGATTTTACTGGTGACTTTATTACCTAGGGTCAAAGGTAGGGATAGTGGTGGAAGGAGTTGGGGGAGAGGGCCTGCAGCATTTTACTCTCTGACTCCCAGGCTTCATGAGCTTGATGAGGAAGAGAGAGATGAGCATCCTGAGCTTAGTGGCTGCTGGTGTTGAACTGTAGGTGGTATTGGGCCATAGGTTGATTGGTGTAGATTATAGAATTCAGATAATCCTGCCTGTGAAAGAAGTACAGAGGCATCAGCTGATGAGCTTTCCTTCTCTCCCTGGCCCTTCCCATCCCTCCCTTGGCATTCATCCACGTTGCCACCCCCTAGAACTCACTGGGCTTTTTGCTCCTTAGCCAGCTGCTGATTGAAGGATCCTAGCCCCCTTCGATGTTCAGCACTAAGTTCCCTCTCCTGCTCTTGTAGCTCCATTGTTGCCTGGGCCAAGCACAAAGTCTGGCTTCCCCATTTGGCAACCCGTGCTTGATCGGCCTGGCGCTGTGCCTCCTCTTCATGGCGTTGCACCTCCTGGACTTTCCTGATGGCAGCTCTCTGCTCTGGAGTCATGCCCTTCCAACAATAGGGCAGGACCTGGTGGGGAGCCACAGGGTGCTGGGCAACCTGGGGGTTCTCCGTCAGTAGGTCACTCGTGATCTGGTTCTGGATCTCTATGAAGTTGGCCTCTTGTTCATGCTGCCACTCACGGCGCTGTCGCTCAGCCAGTTCAGCTGCCTGGTGGGGCCCCTGAATATGAGCATTTGGGTACCCAACTTCAGGGAGCTCTCAGTCACAGGGGAGGGGAAGACATGGCCCTACTCTCCTCCATCTCTGGGAGAGAAGGACCAGCTCTCGCCTGGCCTTTGAATGACCTAACATAAGGGGAGGGGTGGAATGGACAGGGACCTTCCCTGCCCTCTGGAAACCCTTAGACTGAGAGGCTGGGGAAGGGAGGGTGGTGTTCTGCTCTCAGGTCATCCTGAGTCTGGATGTGGGGAAGAGCATCTTCTGCTCTAAGAGGGGCCTTAGGTGAAAGGGGATGTCTTCAGGTAGACGAGAGGGCTGGTGTTGCTTCAGGAAAGGTTGTGTGGGCTAAGACATGGCTAAGTTCCCCAGGACTTTGCTCAAGGGGTAGGGGAGAGCCCGGTGCACTGAATGGCCCAGGCCATACCTGAGCTTTGTTGGTATTGGCCATAGCAGACATCATGGCCACGCGATGGGACTCCTCTACCTTGGCCGTTTGGGTGGACCGCATGTCCATGGCTAGGCGCAGCTGGTCACTGAGCATATCTGCGCAGAGAAATATGGCCAGGGCACTATACTGGCCTGCCCCATTCCTGGTTCACTCATTCAGCCATCTGTTCAACAAGCTTGGTGGATGTGTGGATGTGTATGCTTAGGAGGGGAATGTCCTAATTGTAGGGATGTGGAAGGAGTTACTCTTTGAAGCTTAGGGATAGCCAAGTAGCAGCAACAAGGGTTTCTCAAGTGCCTAAGTGAAAGCTGCAGGGAGATGGATCAAACATAGATCATACCACCATGGTAAGGGCAATGACAGGTGTACACAGGGCATTATGAGAGCTTTGGGTGGTGGGTGAGAGGAAGGCTTCCAGGAGGAGGTGATCCTCGAAATGTGAATTGCATATAGAAAGAAAGAGCAAAGGGCATGCCAAGCCATGTTTTAGTCTAGCCACATTGGCCTTGCTGTTTCTAGATCATGCCAGATACTTCTGCCTCAGGGATTTGTAATAGGCGTTATTCTTGGCTCCTGCTTTCTTGCTTCCCCCAGGTCTTGCTCAAATATTGCCACCTCGTTGAGGCCTTTCCTGTCTCTCCTACCTCAAATTGCAACCTTCCTGTCCCCAACATTTATCCCCCTTCCCTGATTTATTTTTCTCCCTACCATTTGTCACCATACTCTACATTTCACTGATGTTGTCTATTGCCTGTCTCTCTTCTCACTAGGAAGTAGCCTTGTTGAGGGCAGGGATTTTTTTTTTTTAAGATTTTATTTATTCATTTGAGACACAGAGATAGAGAGAGACAGCATGAGCAGGGGGAGAGGCAGAGGCAGAGGGGAGAAGCAGGCCCCCCGCTGAGCCAGGAGCCAGATGTGGGGCTCGATCCCAGGACCCTGAGATCATGACCTGAGCCGAAGGCAGACGCTTAACCATCTGAGCCACCCAGGCGCCCCTTGAGGGCAGGGATTTTGTCTGTTTTATTCACTCCCATGCCCAGAACCTAGATCAGAACCTGGCACATAGTAGGGGCTCAATAAATATTTGTCAAATGAATAAAGGAAACCAAGAAACAGTATGGCCTGTATCTGAAACTACAAATAGTCTGCTCTTGCTAGAGCATAAAATGCAAGTGACTAGGGAGCTTTGCAGGGGCCAGACTAAAGGCCAGAAACTTGCCCCAAAGGTGGTGGGGAACATGGAAGGATTTTAAGCAAGGGGGCGACACAATCAGATTTGTATTTTAGAAAGCTCCTCCTGGGGGCCGGTATAGAATACAGTCAGACTGGTGGGAGACAATGGAGGTAGGGGAACCATCTTGGAGGGCTCAAAGCAGGCCCAATATATAGAAGGGTTACACCAGCAGTACGTGATGAGAGTAAAGGAGGGGGGCGGATTTGGATGCTTCCCAGGGTCCTGGCTCGGATGACTGGGTGCACGGTGTGGCCACCACTGGAAGTAGAAGATACAGAATGAAGAGCAGGCTAGGGAACATGGATGAATTGTTTAGGAAGGCTGAGTTGAAGGTGGTCAGCAGGCATCTGGATATCTGATTCTGCAGGTAGAGAGTCCTCAGCACAGAGGTGGTGACATGGCAGCTGAAACCAGAACGAGGGCCGAGGGCACCTGAAGTAAGTATGCAGGGGAAGGAAAGCAGTGTGCCAGGGACCAAGTCTCAAGAAAGAAAGGTGTAATGGAAAAGGAGCCCACAAAGGGCAGAGAGAGGGAATGGTCAGAGAGCTAAGAGCAGAATGTACTAGCACAGAAGCCAAGGAAGAGAGAAGCTCAAGAAGGATGTGATCAGAGTCAAGTGTACCAAGAAAGGTCCAGTCAAGGAGGAAAGACTAGATAGAGCCTCTTGTACTTGATAACACAAAGGCATTGGTGGTTTTAGTAAGAGTAGTGTCAGTGAAGTTGGTTGGGGAGAGAGGAGATCTCCCAGGGGGTTGAGGTGTGACTGGAAAGGAAGAAAAGACAGCAAGCGGAAGCAGATTTTTCATGTATGGCTGTAAAGGAAAACAGCTAGCTCACAGCACTTAGAGGAATCACAGGGTGCAAGGAGGCTTTAGTTTTTTTAAGAGGGGTTAGACTGGGGCGCCTGGCTGGCTCAGTCGTTAAGCGTCTGCCTTTGGCTCAGGTCATGATCCCAGAGTCCTGGGATCGAGCCCCGAATCGGGCTCCCTGCTCCTTGGGAAGCCTGCTTCTCCCTCTCCCACTCTCCCTGCTGTGTTCCCTCTCTCGCTGTGTCTCTGTCAAATAAATAAATAAAATCTTTAAAAAGAAAAAAAAAGAGGGGTTAGACATAAGCATGTTTACAGCAGGCACAGAAGGAATCAGTGGAAGGGGAAATGTTGAAAACACAGGGCAGGGGATACCTGAGAGAGCACAGCCTGGGGGCGGATGGAGGGAGTGTCAGGGGTAATGGGGGTCCCCTAAACACAGGCTTAAGGCTTGGCTTTGAGGAGGTACGAGGACACGGACTTCAGAGGCTGGAGGGTGGCAGGGGCTAGGGAGGATGGATAGGGGTGCGTGGTTTCATTTCATTCAGCACGGCAACCTGGAGAGGAAAGGAGCAGCACCATTTTTCAGGTGGGGAACACTAAGAGGTCCGGAAGTGAAGTAAAAATGCCCAAGGTTAATAATCAGCAAGTAGTTGGTTGGGAATTGAAGCCAGGTCCCTTGAGGGATCAGCCCACGCTCTTTTCACTACACTACTTGGATGCTCCCTTGGTATTCTGCTGTCCCTGTTGCCTGGCTCTGCCTTCTCATACACCCGCCTGCTGCTGGCCCCGTGGTGCCTCTGCAACTGCTCCAACAAAAATCACCAGATACTCCAAATTTCAAAATCCAATAGACAGGTTTCTGTCCTACCTAAATTTCACCAGAGCATTTGCCATGATTGATGGCTCCCTTTCCGAAACGCCTCCCTTGACCTCTGACTCTGCTTTTTCAGGGTGACCAAGAGAAGGCAAGTCTGGTGGTGTGGTCGAGTGTGGGCTGTGGAGCCAGCTTGCCCGAGTCCACTTCCCGCCTCCATCCCCCACTAGCTGCCTGCCTGGGCAAATTATTTCACATCTCTGTTCTTCAGTTTCCTCCACTGAAAATGGGGATAATACCAGTGCTTGCCTCATGGAGTGGCTGGGAGGATGGCATGAGTCACGATGTGGTAGCAAGCTTAGCACAGTGTCTGATACACAGCAAGTGCCCAAGAAAGGTTAGCTATTATTATTTTATGCATCTTTTATCCTGCCTCCCTGATCGCTTTATTGTGAGCTCCTTTTCCTCTACTCATTCATTCACTCAAGATACATTTACTGAGCATCTACCACGTTATCAGGCAGTGTGTAAGTCACCGGAGTTGTAACAGTAAGACAGCTCCAACCTCTGTCCTCACAGAGTGTACTATTTGCTCACCCTTTCCCCAGGCTCCATCCAGGCTTAGTATTCTGTTCCTTTGCAAACCCTTCCCCTCCTTCGGGCCTCCAGATCTCTCCCTGCAGCCTAGACCAGTTCTATGCCACCTTAGGACCATATAGATACGTGGCTGCCTGTTGGCTGCCTCCTCGTGGCTGCAATAGTCTTCTTTCTTATCTCCTTGCCTCTAGTCTTCCCCTCTAAGCCAATCTCCACAACGGCTGGCAAAGTTTTAAGTCTAAAACACAAATCCTGTGGCCCCAGTGCATGACACCCTCCCGTGGCTCCTACCTCACTCTGTAAAAGCCAAAGTCTGCATCATGGCCTGGAAGGCCTACTGGATCTGGCCCCTTCACCTCTCCGACCTCATTTCCTATCACTCTTCCCCTCACTTGGTCTACTTCAGCTACTCTGGCCCCACTGCCATTCCTCAAACATTCCAGACACCCTCTCTCCTGTGGGCCTTTGTACTAGCTACCTCCTCTACTTGGGACCGCTCTTCCCTTGATTGTTTGCATTGCATTGCTCACTCCCTTGTCTTCAGATCTGTATTCAAAGGTTACCTCAGTGAGGTTTTCCTTATTTAAAATGGCAACTGTGCACCCCTCTCCCAAAGTCCCCACGTGTCCTCCCTTTTGTGCTTTATTTTTCTCCCTAGCAACTATCTTAACCACCTTATACAGTTGACCCTTGAACAATGCGGGGCTTAGGCAACTATATCTTTAAAAAAAAAAAAAGAAAAGAAGGGGCGCCTGAGTGGCTTACTCGGTTAAGCGTCTGCCTTCGGCTGAGGTCATAATCCCAGGATCCTGGGATCGAGCCCCACATTGGGATCCCTGCTCAGCAGGAAGCCTGCTTCTCCCTCTCCCACTCCCCCTGCTTGTGTTCCCTCTCTTGCTGTTTCTCTCTGTCAAATAAATAAATAAAATCTTAAAAAAAAAAAAAGAAAATAAAAGAAGACCATAGGGGAGAGAAAATACGTTTATAGTATTGTATTTATTTTTAAAAATCCACATATAAGCGGACCTGTGCAGTTCAAACCCATGTTGTTCAAAGGTTCACTGTATATTTTACTATTTTATCTTGTTTATTGTCTGTTCCCATTAGAGTGTGAACTCCATGACAGCAAGGATTTTTCTATTTTGTTCACTGTGCCAGGCACAAAATAGGCGGCTTAATATATGCCGAATATTGAAATGGTCTTGTCACTCTGCTTAAACTCCTTAAATGGTTAACCACTGCCTATGCGATAAAGTCACAATTCTTTAGTTTGGTGTAGAAAATTCTTGCATGTTTTCTCTTCCTCCAAGCCCTCAACCCTAGGCTGCACTAACACTAAACTGTTCATGCATCCTAAACCCTTGGACTATTCACAGCCCCAGTTCTCTACCTCTTGCTGCCCCCTCTGCCTAGAATGACCTCTTCTTGACCCTCTCCCTGACTTGGAAAAATTGTACCCAACTTTCCAAAATTGATTCCTAACAGCTGACTTGTGCCACCCCCCATCCTGCTTCCCTTTCCTTGTGAGAATTGACCAATCCCATATTGATGTTCCCCCCGTGTCCTATAAACACTTCTGTCACAGTACCCATCACAGCACCTACCAGTGTCAAAGCATAAGTATTTGCTGATGAATGACTTGTGCATATCTTTTCCTCTTTTTCTAAACTGATTTTCTAGAAGGGACATGGTTCCGTGAGGTCATGGAGGGCATGGTCACGTATAGTGTCACAGTAATAGTAGCTACTGGTTACTGAGCACTGATGTTTGTGCTTTACATACAGTATCTCATTTCAGTCTCATTCAAGCTCTATGTGGCATGGATTATTATCCCCATTTTAAAGATGAGAAAGCTGAAGCACTGAGAAGAAAATTCATTTGCCCAAACCAGGTGGTAAGTGGCAGAGCCGATAGGTCTGTCTTCACTATGCTGCCTCCACATAATGGAGTTCCAGGCTGATTGGTACCAATGGCTATACTGTCAGTTACTGAAGGCAGTCAGGGAGTTTGGGGTCTGCTCAGTCTAACCTTTCAGCATCAGCTCTGTGGGTAACTTGACCTCCCCACTCCCTGGGTGCTGTACCTGGCTCAGAGCAACTCCCCACCAGGCCTCAGGGCTCAGCCTGGAGGGCGCAGCTACTTACCTACACACTTCTCATCAGCCGTGACTTGCCATTGCTCCTGCAGCTGCCTCTCCAGGCCGTATGTGAACTGCTCCTGCTGCATTTTCAGGCACGTGGCCCTCTCCCGGTCCTCCCCAGCAAAGCACTGCAAGCTGGCTAGGCCACAGGGAGGATCACTACGGCCAAGACAGGCTGGAAACTCCATCCAGAGTCGGCTAGGATTCCAAAGGTTATACTGTGGCCTGTTCCTGAGCTGCTGCTTTTGCTCCCGAAATTCTTGCAATTTCTTGGCCAGCCGACGTGTCCGTTCTGCCTGTTCCTTCTCTAGCAGCTGGGCTACCAGATCATACTGCTTCTGGTAGGTACCTGGGGGTGGTGGGCAGGGACATGGAGAAGGCCCCACAGGAGAGACAGAGCCCACTCAGCAAGGTCTCTGCTCCCAAGGCCCATCGGGTTTGTCCCACCACAGCCCAGGCCTCAGGCGCCACTCCAAGGCAGGACTGTCCTACCTCAGCCCACACAGGCCCTTACACTATCCTTCTTGGCTTGCCCTTAGCCTTAGGCTTTTACCGTAAGTTGCCTCCTTGCTCTGTTCTGTTGTATCTCGAAGCTTTTGCTCTTCCACTTGGCTGTTGAGGGCTTTGACATCCACCTGATCCCAAAGAAATGAGCTAAATCAGGGTAGGGGACCACGGGTGGGCCTTGAATGCTCTAACACAAACTGCTCAGAATTTACCCTCTTCAGAATCCTCCTATAGATCCTCAGTACCTACTGGATAAGGGTCTACCATCTGAACATGGTTTGTAAGCCCCTCACTGGTCTAGCCTCTGCCTCCTTCTCCAGCCTTATCTCAGTACCTTCTTCCTCTGCCCCACCCTCAGAGCTCTGTGCTTACAGTTCCCTGTGACATCTTGAGGTTGTTTGGAACAAAGAGCCTTTGCCAGCTACTCCCTCCACTTGGAACTCTCTTTATTCCTCTCTTTACCCAAACTCCTATTCATCCTTCAAGACCAGCTCAGGCCTCGCCTTCCTGATTCCTTATGCAGGTGCTACTCCCATAGAATCTAGGACCCACTGTCCACATTATATTGAAGTTTGCCTCTGTCGATGATCTCCTCCACCAGACTGTGAGCCCATTAAGGAAAGAGACTGGGCCTTAGTCAGCTTTGTACCCTACTGCCCAACCTAGTTCTTGGCCCAGACCAGACCCTGAGGAAACGCTTGCCAACCGGATCTCAATCACACCACACATCTCTCAGCCAACTACTTACTTGGGTCAGGCACTGAGCCACCACCATATGTTAATATTCACTTTCACACTTCATTTAGCTTCATTTTACTGAGAAGGAGCCTGGAGCTCAGAGAAGATAGATGACTCATTCAAAGCCACACATCTAGTAAACAGCAGACCTGGCCCTTGAGCATAGGTATGAGGTCTTTTCCAGAATACCATGCTGTATTCCACCCCGCCCCCCATATCCACCTACCCAGCAATCTATTTTTTCTTAAACTATCAATATTTTCTGTTTATTTTTTATTTTAATTCCTTTAAAACATTTCAAGAGAGTGTGAAAGGGAATACAGTTTAGTGAAGAGTAAGTCCCTCCCATCTCTGTCACTCAGCCTGGTTAACAGTTTCTTATGTAGCCTTCCAGACAGCATTTAGGCATACACAATACCAAATATTCTTCAGACTTCTTTTGGCTCCATGTTACCTGTCTCTTGAGAACCTGGCCACTCAGCCCAGAGCTGACTGGAGGAGAGTCACTGTCACTGGCTCCTCTTCCCCCAGTCTCTTCCCCTGCACCCCCAGCCCGCTTCCTTCCCTCACCTGGGAGTAGATGCCTTCTCTCTCTCTCCTTCCTTTCCAGCTGGAGGGCCTGCTTAAATCAATGAGGGCCGTAACAGACACTGCTACATTCCTCTGTGGGTGTAGGAATGAGGTGACCCCTGGTCCGAAGAAAGTCCCCGTTGCCTACTTACCCCCATGCCTCGGGTCTGCACATTGAAGAATCGGCTCTGTCGCTCTTTTTCTCGATTTCTTCTAGCCTCGATGGCTGCCATCTCCTTGGGATCTGGTGACAGGTCTACCTTATACATCTGGAGCAAGTGTGGGGTGGAATGGCCAATCAATGCTGACCACCATCCTTGACTACACCCCCACCCTCTTCCTTTCTTCCTATAGCACCAATAACACCAGTTATTGATTCCTACTGATTTTACCTCCTGATATATTTCATACCTGTGTCCTACATCTATGCTGTCACCACCCTAATTCAGGCCTCACAATCAGGTGTCAGACAGTATCCTCAGGAGCCTCAGTGGTCTCCCTTGCTCCAGTGTTACCCTCTCTACTCTTTTCTCTGCACTAGCTACCAGAGTGATCTTTCTGAAAGCAAATCTGACCATGGCACACCTCAGCTTAAAACCATTAAAAGCAACAGGGCACCTGGCTGGCTCAGTCAGTGGAGCATGCGACTCTTGATCTCAGGGTTGTACGTTCAAGCTCCACATTGAGTGTAGAGATCCCTTAAAAATAAAAAATCTTAAAAAAAAAAACTTTAAAAGCAGCATTAGGGGTACCTGGGTGACTCAGTTGGTTAACCTCAGGTCATGATCCTGCCAGCGTTGGGCTCTCTGCTCAGCGGGGAGTCTGCTTCTCCCTCTCCCTCTGCCCCCCAGCCCCGGTCATGCTCTCTCTCTCTCAAATAAATAAATAAATAAAATCTTTAAAAAAATAAATAAAAGCTTTAAAGCAAATGGCTTCCCAGTGTTTACAAGATAAAGTCTAACCCCCTTTGCTAGATTTATAAAAGTCTTCATGATCTGACCCTTGCTGATCTTTCCAAGTCTCACGCTCATTTATAACTCTCCTCCCTTCATGTTATGCTCTATTCAGTTTTCCCCATTTTAGTAAATGGCACCACTATTTCCCTTTTTATTTGTTACCTATTCTCTAGTCATGTGAAAGGCTAGAGGGCTTACATTCACCTGTTCTTTCATATTTTGGGAAGCCCACTTTTGGCAACTGTGGCCAAAACCACAGCCAAAAACACTTTTGCAAACATAAATCTGATCATGTCTCTCACCTGCTTAAAATCCTCCACTGGTTTCCCACTGCACTTAGAATCAGATCCAAACTCCTTACCATGGGTTTCAAGATCCGGCTCCCGCACACCTTTCCAATTCATCCCACATCACAGTCTCCCTCACTTAACAGTCCTCCAGGCACACTCGTCTCCTCTCAAGTCCTTCAACACAACTATTCCCATCTCAGGGCCTTTTTACGTGGCGTTTCTTTGTTCAGAATACCATTCCTCAACTCCTCCTATAGCTAGTTTCAATCCTTTATTTATTTATCCTTTTTTAAAATTTAAATTCAATTAACATATAAGGTATTATTGGTTTCAGAGGTAGAGCTCAGTGATTCGTCGGTCGTATATAACACCCAGTGCTCATTACATCAGGTACTCTTGTTAACGTCCATCACCCAGTTACCCTATCCCCCCAACCCCCTGATCCTTATAACCTACATGCAAGTGAAGAAGCATGATAAAAGAGACCCATGAACCAACTCCCCAACTTAAGAAATAGAACTTGATCAATATTATTAAAGTGTCTTATGTCTCTTCTCCCTCATCCTTACCCTAAGAGATAACCACTGTGCAAATGTGACCATTTGCTTACTCATAGGCATTAATATACTGTGCATGAACTGAGGGTTGCCGGAGGGGAGGGAGGTAAGAGGATGGGTAAAAATGTCTAGAATTTTGCCTTTCTCATTTAAGTTTTTAATCCATTTGGAATTGCACTTTATATACAGTGTGAGAGGTAGGGATCCAATTTGATTTTTTTCCAAGTTCCATCTCATCTTTTTAAATGGAACACTAGTTCCTGTCAATTATATGAGATTGCTGTCCCTTGGTCATTTTGTTCCCCTAGCCCGATTGTGACTGTTTTTCCCAGTTGAATTCATTTGTGGTTGCTCTAGTAGATTCCATCAACCAAGCTTTCTCACTTTCCTGGACTTGCCATAAGACTTTTAGACTCTTCCCAGCCTCCAGATGTCATTTTAGAAGTGGTTTCAGGAATGGTTATGGCAACCACCAGACCCTTTCCATGTCTAAGTCTAAGCACCAATCCCAGTCAACTCATTCCATTTGTCACCACAATGTAAGGTCATTGAAGGGAAAGATTTGGCAGATATTTTAAGATTCTTGAGTTGCTAAGGCCATGACCTTGTAATGAGCAGGTGGTATAATGTGATAGGGGGATGAAAGTATGAAGGAGAAGGATAGAAAATTCGGGGAACAGAGAGGGGAAAGGGACAGAGGGGGCAGAGTGGGGCGGGGGGAGGCAGAAAAGGAAAGGGGAAGGAGGGCAACAGGGTAGCAGACAGGAATGGAGGGCAGACAGCAAGAGAAGGGGAAGGAGGAAAGCAAGGGAGGGGGCCAGAGGGGGATGGAGAGGAGGAAATGGGGTGGGGATGAAGCACGAGGAGAGATAGATAAAATGGGGAGAAAGGAAGGAGAATAGAGGTGGAGAGCAGTGGCTTAGGGACCCTGACTCCCGGGGGTTCACACAAAATACCTTTCTTAGCAAAGAGTATCAGTTTTGAAGCTCCCAGGTTGGGTCTAGGTTCAAGTGGCCAACAAGTGGCTCAGGTCCAAGACTATTCTTAAACTACAGCAACAGTCTCTGGACTCTGCTTGGAGAAAGAGGAGGGAGGCAGGGGATAGAGGCAGTACCTCTGGCCATAGCTTTCCCCAGCTCGTGACCCTGTCGCTCCGGAGTACCCTCATCTCCCTTCAAACTCCATCCCCCTTTTCACCCCAGCCCCCCTCCCACCCCACCCCATCCCTACCCCCATTCCACTGCACTTCCAACCCTACTTCACCCTCAGCTTGGTCTGAGCTCCCCTAACACCAAATCCTCCGGCCGGCCCCTCCTTCCCGTACAGCCCTCACTCCCTGGGGCCCTTCCAATCCCCGACCCTGTTCTTGTTTGAGCCTTCCAGCAGGCTAGGCTAAAGCCACAGCCAAGCTCCCACCTTTCTCTTGCCCTGAAGGGCATAGCCCTGCCGTGACTTGTTTCAGCAAGCAAGGACTCGCCTCCCGCCCGCTTCCTCAGATCCCAAAAGCGGCGGCGCTACTCCATGATTCAGTAGGCAGGGTCAGCGGTTTGCGTTGCCACGCAACAAGAAAGGGGGGCGGGGCCCAAACTCCTCTTTTAAGCTCGCGCCCTGGCAACGGATTAACAAAACTTCCACGACACGCCCCTGGTTCCGCTCTCACCGGAAGCCGGAAATCCCGTTAGGCCTGGACTTATTCTCGCGAGGTTTGTCGTACGCCCGGCCTGCACTGCGGTGTTTCCCGCGCGGGCTACCCCAGTTCCCGGGCGTACGGCGCGGCCTTTTGTACAGCCGCCGGCGCCGTCGCCGTCATGGGTTTCCTGAAACTGATTGAGATCGAGAACTTTAAGTCGTACAAGGGTCGGCAGATTATCGGACCGTTTCAGAGGTTCACCGCCATCATTGGACCCAATGGCTCTGGTGAGATAAACCTGGCTGCGGCCCTGCGCACGTCCCAGCCTGGACCCCCTAATCCGGTAGCAGAGTAGTACAACCCAGCCCGTGCGACCTGAAATGTCGCGAACCCTCACAGGTTCCTTTCCCTCCGGAGCGTGTTCAGGCCGAACCCGCTTTCCCCGCTCGGGTGCTGTGACTCGAATCTCTTCCCCAGGTGTCACTTGTCTGCTCTTTGCGCGACCCCCGCCCGTGAGCGAGTGGTACGGGCCGATCTGTACGTTACCCCGCCCACTGCCCCCTCCCGCCAAAAGTGGCGCGTCCGGAGTTGTCCGCCAGCCGCGGGCCGCGCAGTTCCCCGCGGGACCTGCTGGATCTGGCTACTTCCCCTGCTTTGTTTGAACTCTCCGGAAAGTGTGGGACTGCTGGTAGCCCTCCCAAGGCCTCCGGTCCCCAGCGGTACACTTTTCCCTCAGCCCAGCGCCCCCTCCCGCCTCGCATTGGTATGCTCCAATTCCTTCTTTTTTTTTTACTTTCCTCCCGAGGCGGCACTTTTGAATTTCTGACCCTGCGCTCCCGTCTCCAGCGGGAGTGCTTGGGGTGTCCACCCTCCACCTCCATGTCAGAGGTGGGGATGGTTTGAAATACCTCCTTTGTTACCACTGGAACCATTGAAAAGAACTCATTCGCTTGCCAAATTTATTGAATGATTACTGTTTTATAAGGAGTTGTTCAAGGTGCTGTGGAAACAGCGGAGAATAGAGTAAGCCTTGCTCTCAGGGGACTTGCATTCCAGAGGGGAAAGACAATAATAAAGGAGAAAATAAGACAACTTTTGGCTGTGATGAATGCTATACAGGAAATTAGGTTGATGGGATACAGTGACTTGGGTGGTGTCTTTAGAAAGAGCGGTCAGGAGATACTGTATTGTATATTTGAAAGTTGCTGAGAGAATTGATCACAAGGAAAAAATTGTTTATGTGAGGTAATGGATGTTAACTTATTGTGGTAATCATTGCTTGGTATATGCAAATGTGGAATCATTATGTTGTTACTTGAAACTAATACAATGTTATATATCAGTTGTATCTCAACAAAATTTGGGGGTGGGGGAAGGGCGGTCAACTTAACTCCTCTGAATGATACGCTGTTGGAGCACCTGGGTGACTCAGTCGGTTAAGCATCAGTTAAGCGTCGGTTAAACTCGATCTCAGCTCTCGTCTTTATCTCAGGGTGGTCAGTTCAAGCCCCCCTGGGGAATGGAGCCTACTTAAAAAGTAAATAATACACTATGGATTTCTCCCATCTACCCCACAAGCAGTCTGTTTGGAATCCTGCGGTGTTCCTCCACCCCAGAAATGTTATAGCTAAATCATTTCCTAGCATGAGGGACTGCCCTTGATGACATACCTCAAACTCATGAACCTTCGCTGGAGTTTTGCCTGTTTTTGGTGCTCTTTGTAGAGCAAGGTTTCTCAACAGCGGCACTGTTGACATTTCTAGCAAGGTAATTCTTTGTTGTGGGGTTGGTCCTGTGCATTGTAGGATGTTTAGCAGCATCCTGGGCTTTTACCCACTAGGTGGTAGCACCCCCACCCCTCAGGTATGACAACCAAAAATGTCTCCAGACATTGCCAGTGTCCCCTGGGGGGTGGGATAAATCACTCCCTGCTTCCCCTTACCTTGATTGAGAACCACTGGCCTAGAGGGCTAATGCTTGGGGTTCCACTTCAGTTTCTTAGGATTTTGGTGTGGTGGCCCCTGTGAAAAGAGCCAGAATGCACCTCTGGGCATTCACTCCTTTCAGCATGGGTAGATTTGTATATGCAGCTGTTCCAAAAAGACCCTTAGTTTGGACCCCCTCCCCCCCACTTCAAAGCCCACCTGCACAAGCCATTCCTTGGGTCCCCTCAGTGAATTACTCTTTTTCTCTGGCTCACAGTAGATACTTGGTACATGTTAATGTTTATATTTTTCTGTCTTGTATTCATGGGATATGTTTTTGTATCTTCATCACTGGTTTATGAGTGCCCCCCCAAAGAAGACATTCCTTAAAACATTTTATCAGTATTCAGCTCATAATGCATGTTATAAAAATGTTTACAGTATTGAGTGATTGCTAGTAGGGAGGGCTTTGGTTGTGAGACATCCTTACTATCCCTGGAGAGCATGGGAGAAGCCCAAAGGTTGGGAGTGGACGCCTTGAAGTCTGACTCCCGGTCTGCTTGTGTTAGCCCTGCTCTGATGAGGGAGCCGGAGCTAAGAGTTCAGACCTGTGTTAGGATGGGACTGCCATTTATTGAGCGCCACTGTGTGTCAGGTACTTTATTTATTGGAACCTTTTACATTTAAATTCTCAAAATGACCCTATGAGGGAGATATCATTGTCTTGGTTTTATAGGTGGGAAGGCTGAGGCACAAACATTTATAACTTGCACACTGATTCTCAGAGCCAGGGTCAGAACCTGTGCCTGTCATACTTCAAAGCCTGTGCTTCTGCCACTTCAGTCGAGAACTGTGTGCTCAGCATTATTTTAAAGGCTCTACCTATCAGTCATGGTTTTTTTAGATTTTCCAGGTGAGGGAATGGAAGGTCAGCTAAGAATTAGTGAAACTAAAAACCTGGTCTATTGGACTAGAATCCGAGCTCTTCTTTTTTTTTTTTTTTTTTTTTAAGATGTTATTATTTGAGAGAGTAGGAGCGGGGGCGGGGTGGAGCAGAGGGAGAGGGACAAGCAGACTCTGCACTGAGCATGGACCCTGACATGGGGTTCGATCCCACCACCCTGAGATCACAACCTAAGCCTAAATCAAGAGTCGGATACTCAACCGAATGAGCCCAGGTACCCCTAGAACCCGAGCTCTTAATCACTGTTTTGTACTGCCTCTGTGGAAGGAACCAGGCTGCCATTTGTATAGCTGGGTAGAAAGGTGTGGGAAATCAGGTCCTCAGTTCAAGGTCATATAACATGTTAGGGGAGAATCTTGAGATAGAATTTATAGAGATTGGCCTGTTCTCCACTCCCCTGACCCCAGCCTAAATTGAAAAAAATTTTTACCTGAGCCTAAAATGAAGAAAGTAACAATTGTGACTCCACTATTGAAAAGATAACCACTCTTTTTTTTTTTTTTTTTAAGATTTTATTTATTTGTCAGAGAGAGAGAGAGTGCACAAGCAGGGGGAGCAGGCAGAGGGAGAAGCAGGCCCCCTGCTGACCAAGGAGCCCAGTGCGGGACTGGATCCCAGGACCCTGACCAGGATCCCAGGATCATGACCTGAGCTGAAGGCAGACACTTAACCAACTGAGCCACCCAGGTGTCCCAAAGATAACCACTCTTAATGTTAAGAATCTTATTTATTTGAATAGCTCATACATGCACACAATATAAAATTCAAAAAATCCCAAAGGATAGATAGTAAAAAGACTCCCTTCCCTGACCTGTTACCTATTTTCCTTTGGGAAGCAACCACTGGTTACAGTGTTTACATTTTCATGTATTTTTTCCTATGCCTTTGCCTCTCCCCAAGTTTTTATTATGAAAATATTCAAACCTACATGTGTGTTTTTGCTTAATCATTTGAAAGTAAGTTGCAGACTTAATGGCATTTCACCTCTAGGGATTCAGCATTTGACTCCTAAAATTATCATTTTCCTGTGTCACCACTAGACCATGATCACATCTGGGAAAACTAATTTCCTTGTTATCTAATTCGTATTCAGGCTTCCCTAATTGCTCCCCAGAATGTCTTTTGGGGTTTTTTTTGTTTTGTTTTTTTAAGGGAAACTGGAATTCAGTTAAAGTTTGTGCACTGCCTTTGCTTGTTTCTCAGTGATTGCTTTCTTTAGTGGTTCTCCAAACCTTTCTTTTTAGATACTCACTTTTTTTTTTTAAGATTTATTTATTTATTTGAGGCGGTGGGGAGTGATTGTGTGCGGATGGGGGATGAGGCAGGGCAGGGCAGAGGGAGAGAATCTTAAGCAGATTCCATGCTGAGTGGGGAGCCCCATGTGGGGCTCAATCCCACAACCCTGAGATCACAACCCAAGCTAAAATCAAGAGTCTGACACCCAACCAACTGAGCCACCCTGGTGCCCCTAGGAATATGCCTTTTAAAAAATTATAGTAAAATATACATAGCCAGATTTGCCATCTTAATCATTTTTTAAGTGTACAGTTCAGTCTTGTTAAGTATCTTCACATTATACAACTGATCTGAACTTTTTCATCTTGCAAAATTGAATTTGTACTCAATAAACAGCAACTCCCCATTATTACCTTCCTTCAGCTCTTGGTTGGTTTTGTTTTGTTGTTGTTACTTTTTTTTTTTTTAAAGATTTTATTTCTTGAGAGAGAGAGCGAGCGCACAAGCAGGAGGAGCGGCAGGCAGAGGGAGAAGCAGGCTCCCCACTGAGTAAGGAGCCCAACGCGGGACTCCATCCCAGGACCCTGGGATCATCACCTGAGCCAAAGGCAGACACTTAACCGACTGAGCCACCCAGACGTCCCTGTTTTTTTTATTTTTAAACTTGGTTGAGATCATACTGTATTGAGTTTTATATCTGCTTATTTTTTCTATTGTGGGCATTTCCCCATGTCATTAAAAGTTGTAGAACAATCCATTGTGTGAATATGCTGTTTCCTTAGTTGGGGTTCTAGTC